AATTATCTATGTGAGATCAAATTGACAACAGCAACTTAAAAGGTTTGATGGGAAGCCTAGGGGGCAGTGAATTAAAGATAATGGTGATAGAATAATTTGGAAAAGGATAGTGAGACTAGCAGCACGACTGAAAGAATGTAATCAATGTCACTGAAATGTACACGTAGAAACTTTTGAAATGGTGTAACTTTGGTTATGTACATTTTCACCAAAAAAAGGGTCCTCCATGGTTGAGAAGGGAGAGTGTTGACATGTTGTGGGGTTGTTAACCAATGTCGTAAAACAATATGTGTACTGACTGTTTAATGAGAAACTGTTTGGTAAACCTTCATCTAAAGTACAATAAAAAAAAATATATATACCGCATTTTCGGTGAAAGTTTCCACAGCAAATTAGGTTCCCATTTGACAATTTCTACACAAATTGTTCAACGACATTAGTTGCATTTTTCACAATGTGTCAATGTTCTCTTTAATTGCATTCTGGTTGTTCTGTGTCCAGCATTCTAGTCCCCCCGTCCCCCACCCCCATCTGCTCATCTCTGCTTTAGAGTGATTGTTGACCTTTTGGTCCGATATAGATGTTTTTTTACTGGAGCACTGTACTCACAGGTAATATCCTTTATTTTGTGTGCCAATCTGTTCTTTTGATAAAAGGTGACCTCGGGATAGTTTCGGTTCAAAGTTTAAAGAGTATCTCAGGGCAATAGTCTCAGGGAGTCCTCTACTCTCAGCTGGTCCAGTAAGTCTGGACTTTTTAAGAATTTGAGTTCTGTTCTACATTTTTCTCCCATTCTGTCAGGGTCCATTTGTTGTGGCCCTGATCAGAACAGTCGGTATGAGTGTAGATATTGAAATGCACATGTAACAAGAGGTTAAAATAGATGCTTTTTGGCAGGCACCAACAGATACCACATAGCTATACCATATGCAGAATTTACAAAGGAGGTGGTCAAAAAACTGTAACTCTCATTACTCCCTTCCCCCCACCCATATTGAGGTATAAAAGAATCAGGAGTTAGAGTTGAAGGAAGAGGATTTCTGTTGAGGATTTCTTTGAAGAAAGCCATTGGTGTGTTTTGAATCTCCCGAGGGGGAACAGTGAATGCCACTTGTCCCTTACCTCAAGGCCAGGAAGAAAGGCCTCAGTGGGTGCACACTGTATGTGTCCTCTGTAGGTTGGTGGACTAGACTGACTCCTGCTGGGACAAATCTAAAGGAGGAATGTCAGTGGCTGGCTAGGTGCTTTGATGACAGAGCAAGTGAGAGGTGGCTGAGTTGGGTGCAGCCTCCACTCCTGGAGTTTGCCGGGGCAAGGATGCATGCCTACCTTCTGAGGATGGGATGTGGGCTGCAGTGAGAGAACTGACCTGGGGCCATCTCAGAGCTGGCTGAAGACGGTGCTGAGGACAGGACAGAAAGCAAAACGCCAGAGGGAGGGCATCGCTTACTTCCAGAAAGAGCTCCCTGGTGATAGGGGAGGAAGATGGGACACCTGGGAAGAGAGAGGGGATGATGAGTGTCCAAGGAAGTCGAGTGAGAAGAAGGTAAACTCTTGCCAAACCGGTGCCCAGTCACCACAACACCACCTCAAGTAAGGATTTTCCTTGGCTTTGCCGCCTTCTCCTCACTTGCTGCTCTGTCCCTGGAGGAATCAGCAACCTTAACAAACATGGGCGGACTTCCCTTCTCTGATGCTGGCTTCCCACCTGCAGCAGGCCCAGAGCAGTCAACTGGGTAAACCGTTTTAATCCTAACATGGAATGGATTGGACATTTAAATTTCTGAATTGAGGCTGTTTTGCACGTTAATTATGACTATGGGTTGTGTTTCTAACTAAAGATTGACTAGAGAAATGGTAGGGGCCTACCTGAGTTTTCCTCTAGAGCTACGAGAAGCACTAGCCCCACGAGGTGGATTTAAACTGACAGTTGTTAGCTGCTATGGCATCAGCCCCTGACTCATGGTGACCCTGTGCACAACCGAACAAAACGCTGTCCAGAACGAAACGATGCCCAGTCCTGCGCCATCGCCATGATCGGCTGCGGATCAGACCGTTGGGATCCACAGGGTTTTCACTGGCTGATTTTTGGAAGTAGACCGCCAGGCTTTTCTTTTTAGACCTTCTTAGTCTGGAAGTGCTGCTGAAACCTGTTCAACATCATAGCAACATGCCAGTCTCCACTGGCAGATGGGTGGTGGCTGCACATGAGGTGTTTGGCCAGGAATAGAACCCAGACCTCCCTCATGGAAGACAAGAATTCTACCACTGAACCCCCACTGCCCGAGTAAAGGGACAGTACCAAAACAACAACAACAAAAAAAAAAAAACCCACTGCCACTGAGTTGATTCCGACTCATAGTGACCCTATAGGGTTTCCAAGGCTGTAGATCTCTGTTGAAGCAGATGGCCACATCTTTCTCCCACAGAGCCACTGCTGGTTTCAAACTGCTGACCTTTTGGTCAGCAATTGATTGCTTTAACTGCTGCACCACCAGGGCTCCCTCTAAAGGGACAGTAGGAGACAAAAATAAAGTTGTTTTGTGATTGGGGCCCCATAAGCCTGCTTGTTTATTATAATGGTTGCACATAGATGATTAATTTTAGGACCTTTAATTCTTGGTTCACTGTTCTATTTTTGTTACTTTAAAGAAAATTCATTTCCACCAGCTCAATTTGTTTGGTAATTAGTGAATTTGTGAATTATCTTTCTGGGTATACTTAAAACACTTTAAAAAGCAAATTTAAAAGTTAATTTAACTAATAGGTTATGCCTTAATCAATTCAAATTAACCTTGAAGATCTCTTCCCAGCTCAGCATTTTATAAAAACATTGACAGAGCCTGGCTCCCTAATAGAATTGTAACACTCAAGCATACTCATGAACTAACTCCAAACAATTTTCTTTCTTAAAGGTC